TGTATGCATATGTATACGTATATGTGTATATATACATGTACACATACGATATGCACTAAATAAAGCGAATCAAGTGTCAGATTACCCAGGGGTGGAGTTCTAGCACGAGCTGTACTGCGAACTACCTGCCTCAAGCTCGCCTTCCGGCTGCTCCCATCGGCATCTACTAAGCACCTACAGTCCGCTACCTATGCTAAGTCCTAAAACTCCAAAGCCCCAGACCCTAAGACTCGCCCGGGCTCGCAAAGTCCCGACACCTCCAAGAGCAGAGGCTCCGGTTCAAGGCTCACGCCTGGCAAATCGGAGTGTCGTCAAGGTGCAGGCTCCGAGTATGTGGACCTCTACATACACACACATACATATATATATATATATGTATATATATGTATATGTATATGTATCTATATCTACATATATATATATATATGTTTGTATCTATACACGTATATGTATGTATCTATGTACACATAATCATGATTATAGTCACATATATGTTAACTCTCTGTATGTGTATATATACATATATATATATATACTTACTTATGCTGATATATATGTAAATGTACATATACATCTTACACGCACATATATATATATATGCACATACATTATAATTATAATGTAGATATGTAGATATTCTGTGTATGCGCGCACACAACGACACACAGGTGCCATTTACAAAATCGGACATGGCCTGAAGTTTTAGGAGGCTGGAGTCCACCAGGCTCCTCCGGTCTAGGAGCCTATAAGAGAAGAGTTGAACAGCCTGTCTCTCAATGGGCACACACTGTGCGGATTATGATTGTGACTTACGCTTCATGCTTGCCAAGTCATGTAGAAATTGAAGGGGGGGGCTCTGATACTGCGGACCTACAGAGGACCTCTGAAGGAGAGCACTATCGTAATCTTCTTAAGTATTCAGACCCCCTATCCCTAACCCGCTAAATTGGACAAGCTTGGGCTCTTGGTGCCTAAAGGGCTGTGCCTGCAAGAGCTGTGGGTTTGGGATTTCGATTTGAGGGTTAAGGATGTGGGTCCAAGCTAGTTATATAGATGTCGAAATGCGCTTTCCCACATGACCAACTAATTGTGCAAACAAGCACCTAAAACTCCACACTTCGAACCCTACAAGGGGCGGGAGATGGCGTCTGATTGCAATTTAGGGTTCCAGCGTTTGGGTTCCTTATGTTACGGAGGCGTCTTTCAGCTCTTTAAAAGCCCGAAAAAGCCCATACCACCAACAGACAATCCTAAGCGCCAAACCGGTAACCTCTAAACGCCACAACCTTCAACCTCGGAGCCTGAACAATAACTCTTACACCCCTCAGCACGTAAATAATTAGAGCTTAAAAAGGGTTTAGGGTTTCGGGTTTAGGGTTGAGAGTTTAGAGGCTTCAAACATAGAACTCGAACCCGAACCCGTCTCGCCTGACAGCGGTGTTTGTTCACGAACCAAGCGGCTGCGAAGCCTCGCGGGTCTCTGGTTGAGAGAGTTGGGCCCCGGCAGTTCATGCCTGGAGGGCTTTCGGATTCTGCCGATCTTAATATAACATAGTATAACACAATATATTACAAATATAACACAACATAATATAATATAAATAGGTTCAAGGTTCAAGGGCGCTCGCAGTTTAATGTTTTTGCGCAGGGTGTTTGTCGGGTTTGAGGTGTTGCCGTTTTAGGATCTATTCGTTTGTATAGGGCCTGGGATTTCAGCAGGGCAGCCGTGAGGGATCGGGTGTTACTGGCGTTGGGGTTGCTGTGGCCTTGCGACATACGCGTCCCTAAACCCTAAACCCCAAACCCCTAAACCCCTAAAACCCTAAATCCTAAACCCCAAACCATTCATGGCTTTGCTGACGCTGGGTTGCGGGGCCGTTTTGGATTCAGGCACAGACCAAAGCTTTACCTGTCCAGGCTTCCAGCAGCAGCAGCAGCAGCAGTTGTATGCCTCCAACCTTGCAAGGAAGCCTCTGTGAACCTGTTAAATTCTACCGCCTGCCTTGGGGATCAACTCGCAGGCTCCCCAGGCCCGATATGTCAAACCCTGGGTCCCCCAAATAGGCCACTCGCGAGACAGGGTTATACTTTACTGTGGAAGGGTTGAAAGCTAAGGCGTTCGTGGTGCATACCAAGAACATCGAGCAGAATACCAAACAGTACTGATGATCATAGTAGTTGTACAGTACTCGTTGTAGTCAGCATACAAAGAGGGTGGCAATAACTTCTTGGTGTTATTCAAAATCATAGAGGATTGGGAGTGAAGTTATTGGGAGGTGGCTGCCTCTTCTTTGACTCCACTCGATCTGCCAGCTCAACCAAGTGCTCCAGGCGAGCCACCATCTGCAGAGTTAAAGATTCAGGATTAGGTTGTAATGGATAGGCCTTAAAGCTCTCGTCATGGAAATCCAGGATACGATGACCGATAAAGTACACCCCCCAACGAAACCTTACGGTCTTACGGAGATATGTGGGGTTCAACGAGACTTGGAACTTTGACACCCTGAACAGCTAAAGGTTCTGCCTTCTACTACTCCTAAGGCTTGCTCTGATCAGCTTGGGGCTAGGAGGACTTCGTGCGCTAATGCACTAACATCCAGAATTGTAACCTTCCAAGGGTGTGTGTGGTTCGGGGCCTCTGGCTTCAGAGTCACAGCATATAAGGTCCTGAGTCTACGGCTGCAGGTTGCTGAGGGCATCTGTTTGGGGTTTAGGGTTTAAGGTCCAGGAGTCCGGGGTTTCGACTGACTGCCAACACCTCAACCCTCGATCCAAGACGAGTAACGTCTGCTCCGAAACCCGTTCCAAACCGCATTGGCACATTGAGTTGGTAGTTGGTAATATAGGTGCCTTCGCAAATAGTACAAACTTGTGGGATTTGCTCATTTACTTACAAGTATATCGGGACTAGGGGGATACTACCACTGATAAAAGGGCCCCGGTACCAAAGAAAGGGTCGCCAGAGCAGAAGACCCCGAAACCCATGGCCGCCGCGAGGAAAGCCTCAAGCGGAATGTCGAGGCTGCTGCGTGCGGGCCTCTGCGATCCGAATTTTCCGCAGGACTGGTTAAAAAAAACGACACCCGCCCCCGCCTCCGAAAGAATAAAACCATGTCTACATCGTAGGAACGTGAAAAAATCCTATCAGAGGTACCCCGGAGAAAAGCTGCTCCAGGTCGTCTTTTCTGCTCTCTGCCTGAACCCTGTTTGGGACTTTGCAACTGCTGTGAGGTAGAAGACGTAGTAGTCCCCAAGATGTACTGGGGCTATCTTATCTTCTGGGCCCCCTGGATCTCCGAATAAAAAGCCTTGGGCTGCCAGCGGGTTCGCGGTTTAGGGTTTAGGGTTTTTGGGTATAGGGTCTAGGGGCTTAGGGTTTTTGGGTTAGCGTTTTGGGTTTTGGGGTTTTGGGGTTTTGGGTTTAGAGTTTTGGGTTTTGGGGTTTAGGGTTTAGAGTTTTGGGTTTTGGGGTTTAGGGTTTAGGGGTTTAGGGTTTAGGGTGTAGGGTCCAGAAGATTGAAGGTGAATGAGCTCTCGGAGTTAGAGTTGATGGGAGTTGATGGGGAAAGGCTGGGATTCTTTGCTCAGGTCAGCTACGTCTGTAAAACAGGACTCTTGGGTGGCTTCAAAGACGATCTTCTTTCCCCTATCACGTCGCAAGCATAAACACCGCGAGTATCCAACCTCCCACCAGACATCGTCAAACTTGTGCTGCTCTGGGGGTAATTTTGGGCTGCCTGCTACTGTGTATGATGTGCTGAACTTCTACTACAAACTACTCGGATTCTCTGGTCAAGCCTGATATGTTGCCATCACTCTGACTCTAATGGATCCTGCAACAGAGCGCCCCTGTCGCAGGCTGTGGACAGCTTGGACAAAAACCTACACTCCCTCATGCCTTCAGAAGGCCAGGGTTCCAGGTTCGGGTTGTGATGTGGAGGTCTCAACGTTTGCAGACCCTGGGAATCGGCTGAGATTTGGGTGCACAGCACCAACCCCAGATGTCAAATTCGAAACTCCGAGATCAACTTCCACCTACATGGCCCTTAAGGGGTGCTTTGAAAAAGGGCGGCACAGGTCGGGGATGAGAATCCGGTGGGAAGCCTGACCAAAACAAGCAGAGCCTCGCAAAATCTTAATAGATTCTTGAACGCCCTTCTTCATTACAGATGCCGAAAAGAAGTCGGAAAGGGCTTCAAAGACACAAATATTTCCTACAGCCCTCAGCCCACCACGCTATCCCAAACTGGCCCTAACGGGAGCCGAGGTGCAGCAAACTTTGCAGCATGCGCCGCACCTGGAGCCTGACTTCAGACTGCTGCTACCTAACACCTGAAAGCTTCGTGCTGGTTTGGGCACTCTGGGTTAAAGAACTGAAAGCCTAAACCCTACAAGCCCTACAACCCTATACCCTATAGAAGTATGCGAGTAGAGCTTCTAATGGAACGCTAGGAGCATTGGCCGAAGCCAGGTTTTCGATCGAAGCTCCTTGCTGTCCAAGTTCAGTTCGGAATCTATGCTCTGACCTCAATCGTTTGAACGCCTTATACTGTAACGCTTACGATCATGAAGACTATGTGGGCTACAGGGGGATGATCCTACTAATTCTTCCGATCCGCATATTACCCTTAACCCTACAGCCACTTACAGGCTCAAACACCGCGGGCTTTACGCAAGGGTGCAGCGGGGTTTGGAGTTTTGGGGCTTAGTTGGGTCAAGGGCTTTGAGCTTGGAGTTCAGGGGTGTAGGATCATGACAAATCCCAAGATGGGGCCGAATAAGTGAAATCAGGGGCAATGTATACCAGAGTTGAAATAGGGCCACAATGTATGTTGAGCCGGGTTGATGCCGACTGTAAACTTCAGAACTTCTTGGTGTGGGCTACTGACTCGAGAAGCTTAGGATACAAGAACTACTCCCATGAGTGTCTCACGGCACATCTACAGGCCCGATGCGCCCGAAGCCAACACCCCTGTTGGAACAGGATAGTATCGTGCAAGAACATGGGAGTTAGGGTTGGCGCCTAAACGACTAGATCATAGGTTTAGTCGAGATCAAGGTCGAAAAACTTACAGCCCACCAGTTAACCAAGATAGGAGCATGGACACGGGCCTTTAATGATCTGATATCTAATATATGGGTAGCTTGTGTCTCCAATCAAGTCTGGACTGCGCGGCTGAGCTGGATCTGCATCAGGTCCCCTCTCGCCACCGTCGCGCGCGTTTCACACAAGACACGTGGGTCGGCCTTGTCCAGCATCAAAGGTCGAACCTTCCCGCTCCTTATAGAACCCTTAGAGCTCTCTCATTATCCCTTACCTCTAGTCAGCCTCTGGCTCGCTGAAAGAAAGCCTTTACTACCCCGGCCTAGTCCCTTTTTGGAACCCTGATTCTCGCAGCCGTTTTATGCCCTCATAATCGGTCCGAGGAGAAGACGAAGGCACCGCAGGGCTCTCCTTGATCGACCTGGGCCGCATGACGAGGCACACGGAGGATACCTTGCCTAGGGCTTTAAAGGGTCTAGGGGTGTAGGCTTTAAGGCTTCGGTTTTTTCTATGTCTACTGAAACCCTCACATTCTGCTGCACCTCGAAGATGCACCTGGGTGAAAAGTCTGAAAACCAGCTCTGCCACCGACACCTGCTATTTAGGGGCTTTTCGAATCAAGGGCCAAGGGCCTCAGAGGCTGAGCCGCGATAAGTGGCCCTAAACCTAAGCCCTAAGCCCTAAATCCTAAACCGTTTGAATCCTAAGCCCTAAACCCTAAATCCTGAAACCTAACCCGAATTTGTGTGAAGTACGATCCATGCGGACTCGGCATAATCCGCCGATCCGGCTTTGAGCACGCTGAAGCTCTCAAAATTGGGTGCGTGAACACCGCACCCTTCCAAGTTCCAAGCCGGAATGTCCTAAATCCAAACTAGGCATCGCAAAGACACAACTGACACCGAAAGTAACAAAAATGAATCACAACAAATGCGCACACACACACAGAGACACAGAACCACAACGACATCGTTAAAAGCAAGCTTCCTTGGGAGTGCGTCTCAACCCTCAGATAGCCTGCATTACGATGAGGCACAGACCAACAACTCAAACGGATAACTGCTTGCTGTGTTTAGTCTATTGAAGCAGAGAGGGCCACGAAGAAAAATAACACGCGCACAAATATATATATATATATATATATATGTAGATATATACATACA